ATTGACATAATAGTTTTCTTCGGTGTTGAGAAATTCACTTTTTTAGCACCTTGGGTTGTCCTTCCGATCTGAAAGGCGCAATATAAATATAATTTGGTCATCGTTCTTATTTTCCGACCATCTGCAGTGCAGGCTGATAGAGCACAAAGTGGTAGTCACTGCAATATCAATAGTCAAATAGAAAAAAATATATTTAGAGCTTTGAAAAAATGCTACATTTTTCATTTAACTTTAAATATGTCTTAATCTGACAGATCGCTATCTTATCGTACGAAAAGGTGGTCAAAGTTGTGGGAAAAAATGCTGAGAACTGTAGAAAACTAAGTTTCCGTGCATTTTTCTAAGACACAGTTCAAACTAAGTTAGCTTGTCTAAAAGTTTAACATCAATGTGCCAATGTCCGATGGCTCTGTGCGGGACTATGTTTTAATGATTTCGTAGGCTTGGAATTCAGTCAATCCATTTTAAGGTATACCTTGTGAAACATTTTGAGACATCTCAATGATGTAATAAGGTGCTATATCAATTGCAAGAATTATTATTATTAAGATTTTACCTTTAACTTTTAGTGTTCAGTGCTCTTTGCTATAACTTTGCTGTAACTGATTGTAGAGCTGTTAACTTGTTGACTAAATAAATGGTGACTCAATCTTTCTCTGCACGATTCTGAATAAATCTTGATTGAATAGATACAGCTCTTGCCATCAGTTTTTTTGAATTATTAGAACTTATCGCAAGTGTTATGCCAATTGCCCCATGTTTATTGGTGTAAAAACAGTGTACTTGCTCCAGCGAAGGGCAGTTTGAGACGTCTCTAAGACGTGGTAAGGCGCTATATCAAATGCAAGGATTATTATTAATATTCTTATTGAGAGCCAAATGTGCTGCACACAATTAACACAGAGTGACGTTATTTGAAACAGAAGATTCAAACCAAAATTTAGATTTGCTCCTTATTTGAGGAATCAACAACAATAATTTATTTATGTAGCAGGAAGATCTAAAATATAACTTAGCCAAGTTATAACCTGCTGACAACTAATAGGGTGATTTCACCAATTACCCTCTCTTGTTTCATTCTTTCCACTGGACAGATTAGTTACACACATACAGAAAGATTGCTTGGGTTCTTTGCCTGGTAAAGCTTGCCATACAAGCTAAACAATAACTGTAAAACAAATTGCTATTTGAAATAGACATGGAATTGAAATCCAAGTGCCCCCCAAAGAAATGATCAAATCAATCTATTTCAAGCATAGAATCTTAAAAATTTACAGCCTGGAAGAAAGAGTCTGTGCTGTCTCTTTTAAGAGCAATCCTTTCAGTCCATTTGCCTGCCCTTTCTCCATACAACTGTAGTTTACTCGCAGTGTAACCCAATGTAATCAACCTAACATGATGGATCACAAGATTAATGCCTGAATTGAAGAGGGATGCGAGGCTGGGTAGATTAAGTTAGGTCCTAAATGCAGAGGAGGTTAAGGAGTGGACTGATTGAGAATAATGAAATGAATTGACCGCTTAGATCATGGATGACTCTTCATTCGTAGAAGGATCATTGGTAGAGGGATCTGTTACGTCATTGGAAAGGGGACTTAGCCCTAAATGTAGTCCTAAAATGAGAGCCAAGATAGTTGGACTGAGGTCAGGAAGCCTTTTTTCATACAGGCGTGTGACGATGTGGAACCCTCTACCTGGGAACAACCATAAATGCAGAAGTTGGACCCAGCTGTGCACAAATGGCTGTTGTATTTGTCTAGATATACATGGTCACTTGAGAGCAGTTACTTGTGAAGTGCTTTGAGACACTTTGATCTTCGGCCAATTTTCCATTTCCTTTTGCATTTTGTTACCCAACATATTTTCAACCCGGCAGATATGTGAGCGGCTGTCACTTTTAGACATATTAGGAAATTTATGTTTGTACTTAAGTTGTGTTTTTGGGGGTGATGAAACCACATCACTGAAATCAGGGAAGTGATAGGGAGGGGTACTGACAGATTGAGTATCACCTTCTTGTGTGTAGGGACTAATTATTACTTCGAACGTGATCCGCCAATCGACTAAGATACCAGATACAACCCTAAGCTGATCAATCTCCTTTCTTAGACAGGAAAAAGGGAAGACCTCATGGAGACTCAGTCAGGCTGGCACCAAGCCAGATGATTGATTAACCTGGGTACGTGACAGTATCAGAAGTGGGTAGAGGGGCCCTAGGAAGGACGAGGCAGTTGGCGACAAACCACCGAATAAGGCGAGGTAAAATACGAAGTGATTGGATATGTAAATACAGGAGGAAACGGCAAGTCAGGCGACTGACTATAAGTAGCCGAAAAAGAGAAGTGAAAAGCAGTCCAGAACGGCATCAACAGACGACGATGGAAGATCGAAAGCCTGAATAACTGAAGCAACTAAGAAAGAAACCTGTTCCGGACTCGCAGCACTCGGTCTAGCGGCGTTGACGGTTGACTGCTGAAATAAGCGCGCTTCAATGATATTTTTGTTTGAATAAACTTGGCTTAACAGACTTTACCTAAACGGAATGCTGGGTGACCTTTTTGATATCTAACAGCACGCTACATGAAGTATCACCAGTGTGGCTTTGAGACGTTCATTCCCTAAAGGGAAGGCACAGAGAAAGCTGTTGCAACTAGGATAGGATAGCAGGTAGTAAAGGCAGAACAATATCTTGTGATATTCAAGGCAGCGGGAAACGAAGGCTGAGATTTGTGGTCAGGAAAAGGAAAATTGACACCACATATTGTAGTACCTCTTTGCACAGAAGGTAACGAACAGCTGGAAAAACGGTTTGATGCCAGGTATTACTGGATTAAAGTAAGCAGCTGCTTGATGCTGTAACGGTAAGACAGAAGGGTTGGATTTCTGGAAAGACGAGATCAAATAAGGTGAAACGTCTTTTTAATCTGAACCTTTCTTGTGGGTTTGAACCACAGCTGTAAATTGGCTGGACCAGATGCTAAAAGGTAACCTTTCAACATCCTTTCACTCAATTGTTCAAAGAAAGTTACCATTTCTCCCTCTCACCACCAGTCTTGCACATGCCTTTCAATCTGAAGCCTTTGAGTTTGATGCCTATTCAACTTCAGGGTGTGATTAATCGTCAGTGTCGCTAATTTGATTGCTTCATAATAGGAGATCACTAGGATTTTTGCTGCTGTGCGCAATTGGCTGCCGAGTTTCGCTCACAAAATACAGTCAATCCACTTTACAATATATCCTGTGAAGCGCTGTAAGACGTCGCAACAAAGTGATAAGGCGCTATATCGAATGTTAGGATTTTTATTACCATAATTACTATTTACCTTTTAATTCAGAGAGTGCTTTGCTGCTGTGTTTTGGCATCAGCTTCGAAGAGACAAGGAAACTTACAGCAAATGTTTACGGCACAGAAGGAGGCCATGTGGCCCACATCTTGCCTTTGTTGATGCTAGTTCAGTAAAATGAATCATCACGCCAGTCTTTATAGTCGTTCACCCACAAAATAGACAGTTACTCCACCTTACAGTACATCCTGTGACGTACTTGGAGACATCTAACTGATGCAAAAGGCACTATATCAAATGCAAGGATTATTATTCATGATTTTGAATACATTTACATCTCAACGGATACCAGGCTGGTTCTGCTTGAACCTTGCCATCGGTGCTTATCAATTTGCCAGCGTTGGTCCTTGTCTTCAGTCTCAATACAGCATCTGCCAGTGAGAACAGACGAGAAGGTCACTATTCTTGTCAATTGACGGATGATTGATCAGCTTTGTTTACCAGCACCTTAGGACATCCTTGTGGAGTCCTGTAGCTCAGTGGTTAAAGCACTCACCTTGCAAACAAGACACCCGGGTTCAATTCCAGGCAGGGCGAAACCTTGGGCAAGTTTCCTTACTCCACATACCTAATAATAATCCCTCCAAAACAAAACAATAATAAATTGGTCATTTTCAAACCACGACTGTTTGTGGGACGCCGCTGTGTGCAATTGGCTGCCGAGTTTCGCCCACAAATATACAATCAATTCACTTTACAGCATATTCTGTGAAGCGCTTTGAGACGTCGAGAAGACTTGAAAAGCGCTACATCAAATGCAAGCATTATCATTATCATTATTATCATTATCATTATCATTATCATTATCATTATCATTATCATTATCATTATCATTATCATTATCATTATCATTATCATTATCATTATCATTATTATTATCCTCCCGTCATGAAAGGTGCTATTCAAATGTAATTTGTTGTTGTTGTTTTTAGAGTTTATTCCTATTGATCTGTCTCTCATCAGCGTGAAGTTTCACCCAGAGTGGGCAAGACGTGGCTGGCTGACTGATGAGATGGCTCAGTTTAATGAGAATCTAAGTTTAATCAGTGTTCCACTACTACTTCAGTGAGCGAGTAGTGAATGTATGGAACAGGCTCCCTAGGGAGACGGTAGAAGCAGAGGGTGTTGTTTCTCTTCAAGACCAAGTTAGATAGATTTCTGTTCAAAAATAACATCTTGGGAAACAATCTATATATAGATTAGGACATGACACGTCAAGTGACTGCCAGGATGGAGGAAGGCAAATTGGATTGACCTTGGTCTTCTTTCGCCTGGCAAATTCTTATGTTCTTATGCGAAGATTGATTGCCAAAAAGAAATAAAGGATGGGACACGTTAGTCAGTTATAATAGTCCAGGATAGAGCAGATCCAATCCCCGCCCCCACCCATTCCAATCTGCACCAATTCGTGATGCCAGCTTGGGTGAAAAATTTTGCCCACAAAATATACAGTCAACTCACTTTACAGTATATTCTGTGAAGCGCTTTGAGACGTCTCAAAGACCCGATAAGGCGCTGTGTCAAATGCAAGGATTATTATTATAAAAGGTCAACATGTGCATAATCACATTCGCTGAGAGTAGGGGGTGTGTGTGTGTGTCTGAGAGCAAAGTACAATTTTAATACAAAAAAAAATTCATACTGCATTCCGCTTGGCAGTATGCATGTAAGGAAGTAGGTCACTGTTATGCGAAACTGATGTTTGTCTGCCCACGACATCTACGCATTTTAACGGTTCCTCCTGTAGTAGATTTTGCTGAATTATTGCCTGGAAAAAAAATAACCCTTTTTTTTCTTCTCCCTTGTTTCTTTAAAAAAAAACCTTATTTGTTTGGTTGGCCCGGGCAAAAGTTAGCATTTGATTTGAGCTGATCGAGAGAGAAAGAGAAAGACAGTGAGAGAGAGAGAGAGAAAGCAGAGACGTTTTCATCACTGTAAATGACGTAAAATATAAAAGATATAGGAGGTAAGTTTTACGAACTATTTATTTATCTTTTATTCCTAAGCCACACTGGCTATCAAATCTTACTATTGTGCCTTTCCAAGTGTTATTGCAAAAATTAGTTAGTACAGAATTTGGTTGGATGAGAATCCAAGAGGTAGTGATCTGCCTGGACTAGAAAATGCAGAGGATAGAATGCTATTTTCTACTTGAAACTATGTTAAACCCCTTTTACCAATAACTATAATAAACTGCACACATTGAAATTTACATTACAGTTACAAGCTAGAGCAGAATACCGCGATAGAGGTTAAATCCCACTCAAAATACATCTTTTTTTTATCAGTAAAGAGCGATTTCCAACAAAGTAACATTGAGACAAACATTAGAGAAAGCTGTCTTGTTTTACGAAATCGATCGAGCCTTACGAATCTTTCAGTGCACAGTGTAGTTCCTATTTTTTGCTTAAATCATTGCATTGGTTCTGTTTTATATGTAACTCATGGCAATTGATATTTATTATATATATATATAGTACAATTTGCGGGGAATTGGTATGTAAATTGATATGTGCTCAGTTTGTTGTTTATAACCAATGCTAATTTTTGTCACTACTTTTTCATTATTAAGTTGCAAATCTGGGGGTTTCCTTTCGACTGCAGAAATTGTCTTTTTATTTGTTTGCCTTCCAGTCAGTTATTTAACCGAATGAACATTATAATATTAAAGATAAGGGATTTACTTTGACAGTTCTGTAAAGTCAGGGTTGAATAGCTAAAGCAATACACAATTACACAATAGATACAGTTCTATGGTGTCATTTTTAATATGCTTTTTAACCCAGATTTCAAGTAACTGTGTTTTAAACAACAACAACAACTTGCATTTATATAGCATACCTCACGTGGGGCAGTATCTCCGAGCGCTTAAACTAAAAGGACCTACATAAGATTTGGGTGGGCTTATAGAATAGGATATGTAAAGGGCACACATTACAGCAACAATAACATCTGCATGAATACGCTGTCAGTATAAAACCGAGTGAATATTGTACGGATAATTTAACAAGCATTAAAATCTTATCATTACTTTTGTTTATCCACTTTTAATAAGTGCAAACTGTCAGTTTTGGTGTGTAACCATAACAAATATATATTTAGACCAGGAATTGAAAGGTTCAAAATTGTGCCTGGGTTTTTAGCTTGTAAGACGATTTAGCCTTAAGATTGAATTCAAGCAGAATTGTGAAAAATGTCCAAGTTCCGAGGCTTAATATAAACAACAATAAAAATAATAGTCCTTGCATTTGATCTAGCACCTTATCAAGTCATCAAGACGTCTCAAAGCGCTTCACAGATAGAGTGTAAAGTGAATTGACTGTGTATTTTATGGACGAAAAGGGTGCATTTTGAGGAATATAAAAGTCTTCCTCAAAAGAACGGCAGAATAACTGGGCCTAGACTGCACCGAGGAGTCACACTGACACAGACTGCACTGAGCAGTAACATGGCGTAGACTTCATCGAAAACACTGCTTGGTTTGTGGAACAGATCACAGACTAGATATAGGCGTGAACACAACAGGTTCCATAGCGCTTCTATCCTTGAATCTCACTGCAGTGCTCGAGAGGATCCACAGATATTTAAAGTTAATGTTTATTAAATAAGGTTGCTTTTCTCCGAGCAGCGCAGCTATGTTCCTGGGGGTGGGTGGGGGGGGGGGGGGGTAACCTGGCTTGCACTTCCTGCTTCACATTACTTTGGAGGCCATGAAACATACGCAATTTTCAGCTCTACACGCAGAGGCTTAGCTCACGCACATCACACTGAAATTGTTTGGGGGTTTTAACTTGGTCATAAGATCAGTTCAGATGAAGGATGCCCTTTGGCCTGTTTGATCTTATCCTTCCCGAATACCCACCCTACTATCCTCCCATTGCCATCATTAATGTCATGTTTTTTCTAAACAAATCCAACCTCCAGGCCTCACCCACCCCTGCTGGTAACCTTGATCCGGTCACTAATTCCCTCCTGGGTAAAGAAATACTTCCTGCGGTCTTTCCTGAAATTGCTCCATTGCGACTCTAAACCTGTGTCCTCTTGCTCTACTGTCTTGATACACATGAAAGTATTGTGTGTTTTTAAAACAAATATTGGGTCACTCAATCCACGACTGTTTGTTGGACATTGCTGTGGACAATTGACTGCTGCGTGTTGCCCACAAAATACACAGTCACTACACTTTACAGTGTATTCTGTGAAGCGCTTTGAGATGTCTTGACGACGTGATAAGGCACTATATCGAATGCAACGATTATTATTATTATTATTAATATTAACTTTCCTTTTCAAGATTGAAGATCCCCATCTTGTCTAATCATTGCTAAAAGTTCATTTCTTTAACACTTGGGATGATCCTTGTGGTTCTCCTCTGCGGTGCCAATAGGCCTCAGGTTGCAGGCACCACGATTGTGTGCAGGTGTGGTCTGACCTGACCAGAGCACTGTGCGACTCAAGTGTGAATTTGGGTAAAATGTCTCCTTAACAGTATTATTTTGTTCTCTGGAATTGCAGAGTCAATGCAGAAGGGGTTAAATTTATAAATTATATCAATATGGAGTATTGGGGGGTGGGGGGGAGGAAGAGGAACTGTATAATAAGGGGAGGCAGCCAAGATCTTCCATAGATAGTTGACAGGGTACGCACCTGCGCTGATCACTGACAAATTGAGTTCAATGCAGAGATAAAGAAGACACTATATATATATAGTAAAAACAGCAGGCATGTGTACTCAATGCATAGCATGGACCTTTGCTAAAAGTATAGGTGGAAAGAGACCGAGGAGGTTAGGGGATTCATTGCTCACCATTTTCTGAAAGTCAAAGAATAATAATCCTTGCATTTGTTGTGATGCCTTTCATGTCAAGAGGATACATCAAAGTGCTTCACAGGATATACTGTGAGCTTTAGTGGCTGTGTTTGCTGTTGGCGGACATGTGAGGTGTTTAGGTTGACACTCCAGGACAGGACTGGGGGGTGGGGGTGGCGGGAGAGCGATGCATTGCCAGAGATGTTGCCCGTCAGTTGAAACATTAAGCTGAGGCCATGTCAGGTGGACACTATTTGAAAAAGAGAAGAGAGTTTCTCTCTCCCGGTGTCCTTGTCGACAATCCCCCAGATAAAAATGGTCATTTACCTCCTGGCTAATTGTGGGACATTTGTGTGCCAATTGACTGTCCTCTTAAAGGGCTACAAAATACACAGTCACTGCACTTTCCAGCAACATCCCGTGAAGCACTCTGAGACGTCCCGACGATGTGACCAGGCGCAATATCAAATGCAAGGATTAATATTATTATAATATCAAATGCAAGGATTATCACAACTGGTTACAGTTCAAGCTTGTGAACTGCAGTAAGGAGGGCTATAATAATAATAATAATCCTTGCATTTGATATAGCGCTTTTCACATCTTCTGGACCTCTCAAAGCCCTTCACGGAATAGACAGTAAAGTGAATTGACTGTATATTTGTGGGCAAAATGTGGAAGCCAATTACGGACAGCAGTGTCCCACAAACAGTCGTGGATTGAAGTGACCAATTTTATTATTGTTTTTTTTTGAGGGATTATTATCAGTCGTGTGGAGTAAGGAAACTTGCCCAAGGTTTCGCCCTGACCTGCCGGGAATAAAACCCAGGTCTCTCGCTTGCAAAGCGAGCGCTCTAACCACTGAGCTACAGGACTCCACAAAGCTGTCAAATTCTCCAAACAATCGATAGAGACAGGACCCCAATCTGCCCAATGCATGTCAATGCCATCATTTTTCTCACTGCAGACTAACTGAGACTAATGAACTAAGGCTTGATATTTACTATCCTGAAATTGCTTTTGCTTCCAGCTTTTTAAGTATTTTAATTTCCATCAACATTTTGTCTGCCTTTTCCTTGTTAATATCTAAATGCTATGAAGCTGGGACAAGAAACCATCATAATCTCTGCAGAGGAAAACAAGTAGATTAAGTTCCAGTTGTCTTAAAGATACTGTGCAACATAACCTGTGTCTCTGTAGCAAAGAGACAGAGAAATACAATGAGAAAGACAGCAACAACAAATTGCATTTACATAGTACCTTTCACATTGGGAGGACGTCCCAAGGCGCTGGACAGTCGAACTAGGGGTTGGAATCAAGAAGGGTGGGGGCCAAGGAGTGTTGGGCGACCGAAGGCGTGGTCAAAGAGGATGGTGTTGAGATGGATTTTGAAGGAGGCTAAAGAAGGGGCAAGGAGAAGGGAATCGGGGATGGAGTTCCAGAGAGTCGGGGCAGAGAGGCAGATATATGGTGGGACAAGCAGGGTGAAGTGAAACAGGCCAGTGTCTGCAGAGCAGAGAGAAAAGGTGGGTTGGTAAGGGTTGAGAAGGGCACAGAGGTAGGGTGGAGTGAGACTGTGGAGGACTTTAAAAACGAGGATAAGGATGTTGAACTCGATCCTTTGGGGGACGGGGAAATACAGTCAAAATACAAGGCTGAGGGACAAGATGTCTAGATAAAGGAACAACGCATTAAGTATGCAATAGTTTGGTGCAGAAATAACAAGAGACAAATAACTGAAATTCTACTGATTGGTAAAGTCGCCGAGCTTTCTGCCATGCTTTGGAGGGGGAAAACACACATGCTAGTAAATTTACTGACTAGCGGAAATGTGTGTTTCTGAAGGGAAACAGTAGAAAGAGACTCGAGGACAGTAATAGCATTATCATTGACATGCGAGCGTTAAACAGCCACCAATTAGCATTAGGTTTTTCCCTAAAATCCCTAAAAGCTGAAGATTTAACAGTGGCACAAGGCCAATGCACATAGGCATTAGAACCATAGCCCAGCTATAGATGGAAAGAGAAAACTGCGAGGCAGCTGAACTGTTCGGAAAGGTTAAGCAGTCAGTAGATGCAGGTTTAACGGTTGCGAACTTATGTGTGGCCTAAACATGTTTGATTTAAGTTTGAACCATAGAGAGTCATCTTTCCCTA